ACTATCACTGCCGTAACCCCAGCCTCGTTCTCTATCCGCTCTTCCCTCTAGCTAACTTGTAACTAGTTGTATAGGCGTTGAGTTCGTTTTCTAACGGTAAAAAATCTGTTTCATTATCGGGGCTCGACGATCGAAAAAAGTTATTCCATTTGATCATTGCAAAAAAAAAAATCTTCCAAGTATTCACCTTTCTCAATTATCGATACTGTATAATGATTTTGGTCTGATCATTTCGTGACTAGATTTTTGTTTTTGAAACATTGAGGACTCCATTATGAATTCCGTGGGTATTCGGTTGTAAATTGGAAATACTCACAAATCTTTCAATTTAAGCAATGCAATAAAAGTTGTTAAAACATAAGCATTTCATCAAGAACTTGAAGCAATGCCTCCATACATTTCTTGATGAGTGTTGTTTCAATTTATTAATCATTTCTACAATTGTGTTTTTTCAGATCAGATGAAGAATTGATTCGGTTCCTTCACGATTATGATAAATGATAAGCAAAATGCCGCATCCTTGCGTAGTATGTGGTCGTTCTCGTATGAACCCCAACAATCGGGAAGAAGAATACATGTTCTTCGGCTTTCCAGTGAATTACGACACCCGTTGCCGTGAGTGGCTTGAATTTTGCTGTCGGGAGGACCTCTATAAACTTACCAAAAAGCAGCTGCTCCAGCGTATGGTATGTTCCAAGCATTTCGAAAGAAAATACTTCCTGAATGAGTATTTCGATAGATTGAACTGCACAGCAGTGCCCACCATCTACGATCCCAAGCAAAGTCTTTATAACATCATATGTGTCCTCTGCGGAAGATATCGCACCGATCCAGCAGGACCTAACTATGATGGTACGACATTCCACCACTTTCCAGGAGAAGAATTCAGATGTCTTAAGTGGTTGGATTTTGTCGGTGTTGATTCTTACTATCGCCTTACGAGAAAGGAAATCCTCTACTGCTATATTTGTTCCAATCACTTCGATAAGTCTCAGTTCATGCCTGGATACCGAAACAGACTCGTAGACCATGCAATACCAAACATCAAACATCCAGACGATTTAACCGATGATGACAAGTATGCAATGGAAATTGAAGTAGATCAAAAATATTTCCGTCAACCTGACAAACCCAAGAAGCTCGATCCTCTGCCTCCGTCTGTTCTCGAGAGTCAGGCGTGCGCTGCCTGTGGCCGCTCTCGGGCTGATCCTCGGAATAAAATAGAAAAATACAAATTCCATCCCTTTCCTGCATACGAGATTGGAAGATGCTTAAGGTGGTGTCAATTTCTTGGGAGAGAAGATCTTCTCAAAATGTCACCCAATCAAATTCGCAAACTTGTTCTTTGTTCTAAACACTTTCTTGCTGGGCAATCGTTTCAGAAAGTGGGACCCTGCGATGCTGTTCCAACGATTAAAGCTGTTGACCAGAGTAAAAAAGTTTCTGAAACCATTATTACAGAATCAATGTCCGACGTTTTCGAAAATGTACATTTATTTTCGACAAATGTAACTGAAAAATTGGGGCAAGGTATGGAAGGGCGACCTCTAGTTTCCAGCAAAAAACCTTTCGTGATGAACAAACCTGCACCTTTGGCGAAGAAGAGAGGGAAGCAGAAGCGTCCAACTTCCATCAACATCCCCAAACCCCCGCCCTTGAACGACACCAGAATCCTAAGGAAACTTCCCCTTCCTCCAGCCTCCAACAACTGGAAACTCTTCCCTAATCAGTTTCAACCTATCACAATCGCTAACAACATTACTCCAATCACTAATATTTCCACGGATGCTAAGAAAGTTATTCTTCCCTTTCCTGGGAACATCTCGAGCCTGGGACAGCCCATTCCAGTTTCCAGTTTATCGAGTATTCCACCAGGTCTCCTGATCAAGATTAACCTTCCCCAACAAGAGAAGAAGCTTACGAAAAAGGGGCGACCTTCAAAGAAGAATGAGGGATATTGTAATCAACAGATGGAAAGCAGGGCGGAGAGAAAGCAGAAAACGCGAGCAAGGAATCGTGTATCTGAAAATGTCCAAGAGTTTCAGGTATCCAATGTCGAGGAAGTTCACGATTTTATGGAGAATCGTAAGGATCATGAGGATTTTGCGGAGCTATTGAAATTCTCAGAGAAAATTAGTGTTCATAAACAGCAGGTCATGGAGGATCATTGTGCGATCGAGGCGATTGGCGAAGAGCACGAGGAAATAGAGGCTCTTGATGAAGAAATAGAGGAGACGATGGAGGACTACATGGGGGAGATGGAGTACGAGGAGGAGAAAGAATGTTTGCAGATAATTAGTGAGGAGATGAAAGCCACTTTAATAAAGGAAGAGAATCAAGATAATCATGTTGATGTTGATGAACATGTTAATGACAGATTAAAGGAGAATTTCGGTGGTCATGTTAGTGAGAGTGGTGGGGAGATTGTAGTGAGAAGGAAGAAGAGAGTGAAGAGGATGAGTGCAAGGACCAGGAGGACATTAATACCTATCAGAAGAGAAGTGGGGGGGTTTTTAAAAAAACTGAAGCCATTCATGCACAGACTACCGAAAAAGGCTAGAGCCCAGTTGAAGCTATCAATCGTCACTATGGTGATTGATCATCTGTGAGGATCGAACTTTAGAGAAGATCGAAGCATTATATTTTTCATACTATGAAAGCATTCATTGGATTGTGTTTGAGAATTTTAGTCGTGGTTTTTAGGCATCTTAAAGTTTGGGTACCATATCTATGTTGTAATTTTACAATTTCGAGGATTTTTATAAAATGTATGTGAATAAAGACAAGCTGCAGGTGAGTTGGCAAGGAACTGAAGAGAGTAGCAAGTTATGGGGACAGTAATAGACGTCTTATAGACGACTTCTATAATTTAATAATTTGGAAATAAAATAAAAATAGGAAATGATATTTCGTACAAAGGTTCATTATTTTATTATATTTTATTATTTTGTCACACTAGGTTACGGACCAGATCCATAAAAAGAGACAAATAACTTATTATTAGAAATTTTTAGAGACAAAGGGAAATGGTGCACATCTATGTTTTGGTTGTCCTCTATCCTTTGTAGACGATTTGCTATTCGTTGTTTTTCAAAAAGGAAACTGTAAGAAATACGGCGGGAAAATCTTGAATGAATCGCAGTAATGAATTTGGTGAATTCCTTACTTTGTAAAATTTAATACAGTAGTTGGGTCGAAGCAAACGAAGGAAGAAATATTTTTCATATAAAATGTGACAAGCAACAACAAACCGTTCCGATTTTCCGTGAGAAACTCACCACATTTCTGTTTTACATCAATTTTGGGGTCTAGTTCATTCAGATATTATTTTTATTTCTTTGCATATAAATTCATTGATATATTAACAGATTATTCGGTACTGTTCTTCACGATTTCTCGTCTGGCCATTGGTACTACGTAATTCCCATATGCGAAAACTAGAAAATTACTACGGACAAATATTGGCCGGGTTGCTGGGTTTTTTTTTACTCCTCTGGTTGACTAGTTCTTGCCTTCAGCCCGAAGGTCAACTCCAAACGAGTCAAAAACATCATCCCCACAGCTCGGAAAAATACTCTTTCCTATTGACTATAGAATTTTTTGATTCTTCAAATGTTTAATAAAAATTTGTTCAAATTCGCTTTTATAAAAATATTCATTGAATAACGTGAAAGTCCATGGCGTTGTCTCCGGTTCGCTGTATTGAATGTGCCAAAGTCAATTTTAGCAGCCCTGGAAGCCATAGGGTTTGAGAAGATATCCATCGTTTTCCTTACTGGCTTGGTATAGAAAGTATGATTTTTTGAAGCGTGCATTTGGATTTTGTTCATAATCCATACAAGCCCACATCGCTCTTGATTGAAGTACTCGAGATTTGCGCACGCTGCTGTGAAATGTTTTTTTCTTGGAGGTGATCTAAAGACAGTGTTAATTAAAACAAATGGTTATTTACAACTGCTGTGCTCTTATTCCAAATTTCAAATAAAATTACGCCACAATGTGTTCGTTTGTTATCAAATACTTTTTTTCCGGCCTGCAGTTATGGTGTTTTTTTACTTGAGTGGAGTTTGATGAGTAGAGCCAAAAGCGAAACAGTTAACCACACGAGTAAAAGAAAATCCCATAACGGCAGCCCAAGAACAATATTTTTCTCTAGTGATTTTCAAGTTTTCGAGTTTGGGAAGTATGCTATAATTCCCAATCCCCAATCCAGAATTCTTCAGAAGCAGTACGGAAATAGTATATTACGGCACAAGTGAAAAAAGTACTTCATCACACTTTAGAAAATGCCCTTTTTTCACTTGTACAATAAAAATACATGTCATGCCCTAGCCATGAAAAACATATTATCCCCTACTAATTTTTCATGTGGTAGGGCGTGAAAAAGGTAAATTTTCCAATCAACAGTGGATTTTGTAAGGTTTCACGTCCCGAAATGGTACATTTTCGGCTATTGGAGTGAGGTTTTTTACTCGTGTGAAGTTGGCGTTTGAGTCGAAGGCGAGAACTGGCTAACCGCACAAGTGAAAAAAAACCCCATCCCAAAAGACTTAAATATTTTTCCGTAATGATTTTCATGTTTTCGAGATTGGGAAGTATGTAATACTAATTTCCAGATCAAAAATCGTGAGAAGCAGTGCGGAAAAATGCCTTTTCGGTAATAACTCATTCTTTTTTAAGTCTGAAAAATAGATTGATAACTTCCAATGCAATTAAAAAATTTAAGTAGCGGGGAATTTCAAATCTAAATTGAAGAAATTGTTACGGAATTGATTCATATTAGTTTTATGAATTTACAACCAAAAGTTTACCTTCAATCTTATTTTGTGAAATTGATCCCACGTAAGAGATGACTTTTGCTTTTCTGAGATATCCATCATTGGAGCTTTGATTTTCTTGGGGATACTGGTTCCACAAGCTTCCCAAACTTTCAGAGTTTTTGCAAGATTTTCTGAAGAATGCAGATAGAATATTCCGAGAATTAAATGTAAAACCATGATGAATTGAAATGTTATAAAACTTATGGTATAATTTATAAATCTCTCATATGTTACATTGTCAGATAAAATTTTGTGATAGGACACTATCGTAATATTCGCGTAAATAAATAATGATCTATTTTAATTGAATAAGAAAAGGAGTTGCGTAGTTCCTGCAGGAACTATGGTATGTAAAATAAAAAAGTTACCAAAATGAAAGAAGATGTTAAATAGTGATACCACCATACATTAACCCGTTCCAATAATCTATAAATAATTTCTCATCATTTAGAGGATGAGAATACGGGTCTAATACCTGCACCTCAATATAAATATTCATACTCTCTACGTTGTCAAATCGAATGTAACTTTTGAGATGTGTTTCCGTTATTCAGAATTTATTTAAAGGTCAGGGGTCGGATCTTCAGAGCATTCAGATGTACTAAAAATTTTCATCTTCGGCTTTTTGAACAGCTTCAAAAACGTGAAACCAAAACATTCACGTGGGGAAATAAAATTAATGAGGACCAATCATAAATTATGGTACAAACAATTTTGTTTTTAGGGTTATGCACCCTTTTTGAATGATTTTTTTTTATAACTAAATTAAGAAAAAAATATGGAGCAACTTCAGTTTTTCGAGGCTGACATTGCATAAATTTTAGTTAAGGTTGTTGTCGCGCGACAGTCTCTATAAAAAGTTTATTCGCTGTAAAACGGGCCAGTTTAGAACACAATCTTTTGACGGTATATAGTCTCACTTGATTGATTGCATTGTGCATGAATAGTTAAAGCATAACTATATATTTTCCACTTTAACTATTTTAAATTCTATAAATTTATGAATTTTCGATAATTATATTGCGTAAACCAAACGGTCAATCGATTTGATTTTCTGTTCTGCATTTCCTCCCACGATGTGTATTCCACGTTTTTTTTTATTTCTCAAACTGTCGAGCCGTTGATTTAAAAAAAATTCTAATCGGTGAAACTCCATTTAAACACGTGTTAAATCACTCGAATTTCAAAAAATTTATATCTCAAGTTCAAAACGGTCAACTGCAAACGGAAAGGGCTCATTTTGGAACTATTTTTTCAACCTATTCACCATAAAGGTTTAAACGAAAACTGTCGAAAAAAAATTCTGCGCGAGAACAACCTTAAGGATGTTTTGCTGGTATTTTGTTATTTTTCCTGTTTTTCTGAGATTTATTGAAAACTATTGATCGGATTGGGATATGAAAATATAGCGATTGTCCGTTCCATCATGATTGACTCTTTCATAAAGTTTCATCCCGATACACTAATTTTTGTAACTTTTCACTAAAATTTAATAAAAAACCACTAAAATTTAATAAAGAATCAATAAATTTTAATGAAAAATTATAAAAATTGGTGTATCGGGATGAAACTTCGTGAAAAGATAAATCATGATGTAACGGACAAACGCTATATTTTCATATCCCAATCCGATCGATAGTTTGCAATAAATCTCAGAAAAATAGGAAAAATAACAAAATACCGGCAGAACATCCTTAAACTGTTAACTTTGATCGATCCTTCCAGCCCATTTCTGAGTGCTAAAGTACCGAATGGTATACTGTCATGGAGTGGAAGATAGCCGAGGATTGAATTTTTTTTTAATGGTTGTTATACATGGCTTCGATTCTGTGTGAGTCTATGGCGATGATGACTTTAAATGATTAGATCTCATCATTCTACCCGGCCAGGGTTCGAGCCTGGAACCTATCCGTTGTCAAGCAGTGACCTTAACCTCTATACCAGGCCACCGAGCTTGAATCGAAAAGTGATTCTCACGCCGAACCATTTTAGATCTTAGCAGAAAAAAATGGTTCAAAGTGTTCGTAACGGTAGATAAAACTTGAAAAAACTTGTAAAAAAACGAAGATCATTCAAGATACAAAAGAAAAAAATCAGACCATGAAATCAACTACGAAGGTTTAGTTTAATTGTGGCCGCCTCGCCGTGCAAAACGAGAACTAAGGGAAAAGAATGGAAAGGTCGTCCATTATTTCTGTACGTTCAACTAATTAATGAAATCGATTAAAAATTCAAGTTTCTACAGAAGAAATTCGTAGATTTGCTGATATAAATTCCAGAGTCAATACCTTCCGTAGTAGAAAAGATCTGCTCTATACAGATGTTGTAATCAAATGTGAATGGCTCTCATCAGAAATTGAAAATTGGTAATATAATGTCACCATGTTTGGTTGAAGACGGCGGGTTATCTCACTGTCTCCAGGTCTAAAGCAGGGCCCGGCAACCTTCAGGTAGTCGGGAGCCAGCCTATTACAAGGGTCGGGATAATCCTCTCATCCTAATATGTACCCAATTAGCCAACCATTGTGTGCGAGTAAGTCCCAGTGGTGACGATATTTTAGTCAGCCACGTAGAGTGGCGTGCGAGTCGAATAAAAATGGCGGACTCACCAGAATTTGCGCCACATTTCAGTTTAAAATTTTAAATATAAAATTGAAAAAGTAAAATTTGCATAGGAAAACCTTGGAGAATTTATTTCCGAAATGGTAGTCGGCAATTATTATTGTTCTTTCAAATAGTAATATTGGAACTCTAAATTTGAAAAATGAAAAGTTGCCATTGTCGACTATGGAATATATTCCTGGAAATTCCATTGCCGATTTTCATATTACATTTTGATTTTTGATCATTTTGCCACGTCACAATGAAAAATGAAATTTTTTATTCGTAGCATGAGAAAATCAATTTTCTCATTATTTCTCCGGTGAATCGTACCTTCTAATCTTTAACTTCGATGGAAGGATAGCATCTCTGGCACTGTTCGAGTATATTATAGTGCACCATATAAACCGCGTTTTCCATTGACCATGGTCATTCATCGAAACTGTCGGACATAGTTGTCACTTATTCGGGGCAATCCAAGTTCTATCCTTCCATCCATTACTATTGAAAACGGCATATTAATAAATTTTTATTGATTTTCGACAGACATTGAAATTGCACGAATATTGCTCATCCCTCTAAAATCCAAAATTCAAATTCAAATTAAAATTGCCGTCAAATATTGCATTTTTTTTAGTAAATGGCTGCAAATATCGTCTGGACATAAAATAATTCTCCACGGTGAGTGCTCATCATGAAAGCATTGAAATATTTTTTTGTCTAATATTGCTGCCTATTTCGAGTGAAAAATTGATATTTATATTTCAAATTTATGAAAAGTTGAAAATTGCCGCTCGATCACACGGCCGCCCTCTGCTGATATTGGTCAAACTAGGCCTCAGAGAGAGAGAAAAATCGAATTAGAGCAGGTAGTTTCGTTAAGTGGATGAGGCCCCTCTCCCAGCTCTCACTAACGAACCTCGGGAGCCGCGTGAGCCCGATGAGCCCAGGTTGCCGGGCCCTGGTCTAAAGCACAGGAACACTCAAAGGACCCCAAGGGGGGGGGGGGGGGGGGGGGCTCGACAAAGGACTTTTACCTGGGCCAGGGGGGTTATTCTGGCCAGAGCCAGGTCGAAAAGCGATAAAAATGCAAGTCTAAACCAATGAGATTTGTAGTGGAATAACTCCCCCTACTTGCTGGCCCATCCACCTAACAGATATTAACTCTATATCATAAGTACACGTTCCCGGCCGCCAGAACACGTAGTTCCTCTCTGATGATTCTAATAGTTCTTTTTATAATAATTAACAATAATAGGTTAACATCGGGGTGTGATTTTTCAATAAACTCGCTCTCTTCCTAAAGGTGACAAAACCGTGGAGGATTGCAAAGTATAGATCAGGCATGGGCAATCTCCAGGTAGCTCGGAGAGAGCCATAAACTCGAATTAGAAATCCAATAAAGTTTACAACCATTTCAATAATAAGGGTCTTAGTACTAGCATAGTGGGGGCTTCACAGGTACTAAGGTGGGGAGTACCCCATGAAGCATCTGGCAAGAATTTATCCTTCGGAAGGGAAAAACTTGTCGCGCATTTGATTATTTTTTAATGCACACATGAAAAAAAATTGAAATTTTTCTCATCGACTTATTTCTCTGCTTTTCCTTTACTTGAGTCTAATTTCTCCTCTTTTCCTTTTCTTAAGCGTCACCCCCACTTCGGTTGATCTCAGCGGAGGAGAAGGGCTTTTACGACCTGGGTCATAAAGGCCCATCACCCGATACAATGGGCTTTCGTCTACCCTTTGTTACGCACTAATAGAGGTCGGGAGCACGACTTGCTCTCAGAGCATAGTTTGCCCAGCCCTGGTATAGATAATCAGTTTTGTCGTCATTTTCAACGGTTAACAAAATACTTTTTAAAAGCTATCCTCGGGTTTTATTAGCTCTTAAATATCCGAAAACTATGTTTAATAAATTGTCGATAACTAGTTCAAAGTTTTCGGTCTCAGTTAAATAAGTAACTACTTATCTGACCGTGACAAAACTTTGCAAATGGCCAGCTCTCGAAAATTCGAAAATTACCATCAAAAAATTGCTATTAATCAATTCATTATCCTGAAAAATCGAATATACCTGGCAGAGGCCTTCCAAAAGTTTCGTTAGCCGTTCGAAATCAACAAAAAAATTATCATCTACAAATCATTGCTAATTAATTTTGAGCGATGATAAACCTAGAAGGAGACCTCTGGGACGTGTTACCAATTTTTCAATGTTTTGTCTAGTTTGAATATTTATCCATTATAACTAATCAGTAAAATTAAAATGATTATGCATGACCTGATTTTTCCCGGTTATGTATCCTGAACAATTTTAGTATTGTAATCCTTTATCAACCTTCTAAACAAATTTTTTTGCCAGAAACTTGATTCTAGCTGAGAACCAATGCTCTTTTGAGACTTAGATTTTCTTTATAAAGAGTCGACGAGAATTTTACTATTGAGTTATCTCTTAATATTTTCATCACTTTACTCTTCGTTTATCAGAGGAATCCATTACTTTCGATTTTTTTCTCCATTATGACTCCTTTGCGGTACAGAATCCATGTCTGGAGAGGCGGAATTTTATCGCATTGTGGTAGCTTCGCAAATAGATATCCTTCTTCAGCCATTTCTTCTAAAGCTTCCTGAAATAACAAGAAAAACGAAGACAGACTACAGACAGATATATTAGAATTATAATTACTCATACGGCTACGCCACAGCCGATTGTCCGTAAAAATGAGTAGAGGTGGTAAAACCTGCGCAGTTGTAGTCCGACTACTCATTTTCCGTTTTGCAGTTGAAATTAATTAAGATTTTCATTACAAGACATGAAATGAGGCATGAAGTCATTTCATCGGCTATTTAAAGAAAAGAGATTAACTGGATATCGAACTCGTACATCTACCATGTGTTAATCGAAATGCATATATGCGCGCTAAACACTTCACGTGTAAAATAGTATATTTCACGCCTAGGACGAAAAAAGGGAATCTGACGAATGCGACTTTATAGTCCGAGTCGGAGACGAGGATTATAACGCGCATGAGTCAGAATCACTTTTTTCGCTGTGGCTACACGGAGAGAAAAACACAGGAAAAATTATGTGACTAATCACGTAATCGTGGGCTGGAGTGTCATTTTCTTGTTTTTTACGGGAGAATTTGGGAAAAAATGAGAGACGAACAGTAAATTTTATTATTTGCTCTGGAAAATTTACGTGACTGTCACGTAATTTCTTACAAACTTGTAAAAGTTACCACAGTTCCGGTAAAAATTATTCCGAGGAACGTAAAAATTATCCAGTTTTTTACTTAAATTTTACGTGACGTACCGTAATTTTTACGTGACCGAATTGAAAAATTCCAGCGTTGGTGGTACGACTGTTGGTCATACCCGATCGCGAATCATTGTCTAAGTTCGGATCACGCCACTCAGTAAATTATTATTGCCGGAAGGATAATTAGTACATTGTGCCTCTAGGCAGTAAAGTATTTTTTGACGAAATGTGAGTATAATCACATGAGTAAGAAAATACTTTATTTCCGTGAGGCACACAATATTTTATTCTCGTAGGGACTGGAAACTTCGATCTAACCGAGCGAAACAAGGTTAGAATCGTAATTTCCAGTCCCGGCAAAATTTACGGAACTGGGTACCGTAATTTTTCTACCTCTAAAGGTCACTTTTTACCGACCGAGTGGTAAAATATTCTGAATGATCGGCACTTTTTCCGATTTTACGTTTCGCCCCACGTTTACTTTTCACACATTCATTTTTACGGAACTTTTTACGTATTTTTTCCAGTATTCTTCTCTCTGTGTATGATGCTATTTTATGTCATTGTGGCCGAAAACGCGTTTTTATCCAAGCGAAGCGAAGTTCGGTCTCGGGTCTGGAACCCTTAGTTCGACCTTATGCTTACTATTCTTTATGGAACACATTCATTTTTAATTAGGGAAAATATAGAAATCCCTCGCCCTCTATCACTGCCTCATACGCAGCGCATTGATTATTGGAAATCATTAATTAACCTATGCGATATTTATTTAGGTTCCGGAATTTACGACGACTTGCTTAATTTTTAATTATTTTTTTCAACTTGGGACGTTCAATTCGGAAAAAGTGTTTTTTTTATGGCCTGGGTTCTTCCTTCGTCGATCATTTTTCTTAAGAAATCAGAACCTGATGTAGGGACTGAATAAATCCACATTGAAGCATTTATTCAGTTTGGGGTTCGACTTGCGTAAGCAGGCTCACGGGCTACTTCAGTTCAGTTTCCATCAAAAAATTATTTGACGATGTTAAACTACTGCCATTGACAATGATGAAGGAGTTTTAGTGAAGCGGATGGTGAAAATTCTTCCGTAAGCATTTTGGGGCTGAAACTTTTCTGAGGCTCCGGGATCTGGAAGATTAACCACGGACTACGTCGTAAAAATAATACCCGGGATGAAAATTTTCAGTATCTCCAGTGTCCCACAGGGTGTGTGAACTAGGCGCAAAATGGAATGGTTATGCACCGTCCATTCGGCAGACATCGAAATGCATGAACAAAGGATAATTAACTCCATGAACCCTTTTTACCCCATCATGCAAATAATCTTCGTCTAAAAGTCGATCCCTCTCATATTTTATATTACTCAACTATTTACTGGATCGTAGATTAGTTAATCATTGTTCCGAGTCAATCCTTCATTCTCCTTCTATTCAATGAACTGTGCATGAACATTCAACGACCCCTAGTCGTCGTTCCCATCGCCTTTCCTTACCCTTTCGTCTTATAACTCCACAGACACATTTCACCGTACTGTTTTTTCAGGGGAATATTTCCCATCGCCCCCCTCCCCCCCCTTACATCTAGCTATCTAGCTCCATCATCCAGCCGGGTCGGAAGTTTGAAATTTGGATTATAATGGAACACCAACAGAATCGTTGAGCCTAATTCTTTGTTTTTAATTATCAGGTGAATTATAAATGTGGGGTACTTTTATCGTTAATCTTTCTTCATACAGAACTTTGATATCATACCTTCATCAATTTCTGCAAATTCTTTGTTTCTTCTACTTGTTTTTCTGTTCTCTCAACTTTGCGTTTCTTATGACAGGAACCAATTAATTTATCTCTGGCCGCAGCACTGATTTTTTTCGAATCTACCTCCAGCTTTTTGGATTCTTTTCGTTTAATAGCCCCATCATCTTTTTGGCCTTTTGTTGATATTTTCGACCCATCAACAATATCAATATATTTTGGTTCATTCAACAATTCTTCAATTTTTGTTTCAACTTGTTCCTTATCGGTTACATCTTGTTTGTTCATTTCATTGGAAGCATGTTCTACCACCTTTTGTACATCTGTGGCGGCATGAGGTACGAATTCAGTCACTGACCAATGATGATGTTTCTCATAAGCGTGTATATCAACTTGTGATTCACTAGATACTGGAGTGATCGTGATTGGAGTTCGCACTGAGATTCCAGTCACCACACATTGATTACTCGAAGCCACACCTTCTACTGAGATTTTCAGACATTCTCTATACTTCTTTGGTTCTGATTTTATGGGAGGCTTATCCTTTCCGTGCTCAATCGCCTTTTCTTTCATAAGCCGATCGAATATTTCCTTAAGTGGATTTTGCTGGCACGTATCCGGAGAATCACTACACTTTTTACATTTTTTAATCTCCTCTATACTATCGTCCACTGCAGGAGGATATTCTTCAGTAGTCTTATCCGATTCAGTCGCACGAAACGATCGATCGGTCTTATTTGTCTTTTCTTTCTCTTTTCTTTTTTTTTCACTTATAGAGAGCTCATACGATTTTTCGTGCCCATTAAATTCTTCTAGTCGGCTGTTTTCCAAGATGTATTTAGGGTCTTTGTGAGTGTGTGACGATGCATTTACATTGTTGGAATTTTTATCTGGGTTTGAGAATTTGCAGTTGCATGGAAGCACATTCTTTTTGGGTAATGGTGGTTTTGGAAGAATTCTCCTAGGAACGTGATTGATTTGTTTTGAGATTCCTGAAGTGATACAGAGTACTTGATGCTTTTCATCAAGTGCAATTGTGTCAATTACTGCCGTCTTAAAGACTCGATCCTCAGAGGGAATTACTAGTGGTTCACTTTTAGAATAGTCCGGCAGGTTGTCTGCATGAGAGCTGACGCCTATGGAACCCACAATGTACCTAAACAATGGATAAAATGGCAACGGTTAGGTTTGGGGTCTAATATTTATAAGCAGGGAGTCGCTTAGAACATCATCATGAAATCATGGGCAACTTTATTAAATACTAACTAGTTCATCATCTTCAAGAACTTATGTTAGCTACCCTCTTATCATAAAATTTTGTTCAATTGTTCTCCGCGTTTTGAATTGAGAGAGGGAACAAATCAATTGAAATCAGGATTATAAATTATTTTAAAGCATTGTTAGGCGATTATAAGTCTTCCAATGCCAGAGACGGGAATCTTGAAGAATGTCGTCAAAATCACAACAGTAAAGTAGCTCAGTCATAGTATACTTCCGGACTGTTGGGATGGGATTTTCTACTAGTGTGGAGTTTGACGAGGCGAGCCGAAGGCGCTTCGGCCTACGAACGAGTAAAAAAAACTCTATTCCAGCAGTGAGGATATTATTTTTCCGGGGTTATTTTCAAGTTTTCGAGTTCGGGAAGTATAAAATACCACTTCCCAGCGGAGAAATCGTTAAAAGCAGTAAGGAAAAATGAAAATGAAAATCACGCAAAGGATTCAATCAATTAAATGGTCGAAGGCCCACATTTTTGCGCAAAAAAGAAGGAAGGCGAAGGAAAGATTAGGCATATTTTTAAATACACATTGTTTATAGACAAAGATAGGGACTACAAAAAATGTATCGATGAGAATATCTTTTTCCTTTAACTCCAGAATATTAGTAAAAAAATGGGCTTCGAAAAGAATTCACGCATCCTATTTTACCGTTCCGCCACACAATTTAATGTTACGACGTTGGCAACTGCCACATTAGATATTTTTCATTCTTCGTGCAATATTCTTATTCACATAATCGTTTCGGTTGTAGTTTTTTCGACATTCTCATTTAATCAAATTTTTAACCCACTTATTTACGATATAAGAAGAAAAATGTGGCTAAACATTCGCGGCGCTGTCGCCTTCAAGCATCCAGGCTTTCATATAGCCTCAGTTGATGCATCATCACAACAGTAACTAACACCCTTCAACTTCCGGCGAATATTTCAAATCCAGAAATTCTAGACTTTCTTTGCATTATCCGGGATGCACTACTGGAAGTGAATTATATGCCGTGTTAAAGAAGATTTTGCCAGTTCAAAATTTTTATTCATGGGCTATAAATGTTGAAATTAATTAATTAAGTGAAAAAATCAGTTGACGTGGCAACAAGGCTATTCAGGTTAGGTGAACTCTCATGACAGAAACACAACACAGCCATGGAAATGCTTCACACAAGTGTGCAAGCCGTTGAGCAATGTTATCAAACCAAACTACCGCGCTAATCAAAGTCATCAGTACTCTAGCTTGACTCATGATGTACCGGGAGTACTACCTCAACGGAAACGAAAAGGGAACGAAATCTCCCAGCAAGTCCATGCGCTGTCCCTCGTCATAACGTTTTCTGTGCGCGATGCGATCGACACGGCCGTAGTACAGTGCTCCTTTTCTTTTATTTTCTTTCAATAAATATAAAATTCGACAAATATTAAAAGTAAGTTCAAAAGGAAATTACGTGTCTTGGCGAGAATTCGTCAGAGGATGAATGGTCGTCACACTTTATTAGAACGCTTAGGTGATGTTAACCGCTTTAATTTCGAACTCTTACATCAGCTCACGAACACCAGGAGGGTTTACCCTTATAATAAGGAATTTAAGCTAATTTTTGAGAGTTTCACCCCGGACGAGTTATTATTCGGCTCTGATCTGTCAAAAAAAAAAATGCTTCCATTCGGAAGCAAAAAACAAGACCGCTTGTTCAGTCGAGAAGAATGGCCTGTCCATTAAACCTATTGACCTCCTCTTAGATTAAAAAATTCCAACTGGCGACGTTCGTCAGAGACCCAGGGACCGCCAGCGAAGATGGGCTGCAGAGGGAGTAGGGTTAGTAGAAACCTAGCCTCGACCAGAACACTCGACAGGCGGACAACCACGAGCTGCAACATTCCGCCAGTTGCTATGACAGGTGACAGAAAGTAGTTCAGGTGAGTGAATGCGTCGGGAGATTGAAGTTTTACACACACACCTGGTCTAACCTAACATCCGACAGTTTTATTTCAAGCCTGATCTCGGGCTATGAAATTAAATTCATTAAGCCTCCTAACCAATGGGACCACGAGAAATCTGTCCTACTCAGCATTACAGACGTTTCCTCTGGGATATCTGAGGCTATTGGATGGCTCTTGTAGCTTAGAGCTATCTGGGAGTAGCATCCGGTTAAAGACAAATTTCTATTCTCTTATTTTCTGGTACCCAAGAGTGACGGCAGCATGAGATTTGTTCTCAATTTAAAGAAACTCATAAACCGCTATAAAAACTCTCCTCAAATCCAGTGCTGACTCTAAGTTCGTCTGGGAAACCATGGAGAGCCTGGAAAAACTGGGGACCAGCAACAAGGTAACCCTTGCCTTGGTCCCAGGTCACGAGAACATGCACGGCAACGAAATGGCAGACGGGCTGGCGAAGCAGGGGACTATAAATGCGGACGAGACTTCGCCAATGGGAGTCCCCCATGCCGTGGGTGTAAGCCACATAAAGAAAAAGCTCCGATGTGAACAATCAGAGCGGTGGAAAGACACAAAGACCGGCAGGAAGGCCAGGGCAATCATGTCTGGCCCCAGCAAGAAAAGGTGGAAACACTCAATAGCCATGAACAGGAAAAGTCTGGCCACTACGATCAGGCTGCTCACAGGACATGACAGATTTAAAGAACATTGCAGAGTCATCGGCATGGACTCGGATGGGTGGTGCAAATTCTGTAATGAAACAAAAGAGGACAATCTACACATCCTATGTGACGGTCCGGCTCTAGCAGCGACGAGACTGCGCTGGTGGGGAACTGCCTTCCCCAGCGCGAACAAGGATGCAACGGATCTGTTAAGACTGGCAACAAAGGCCGGGCTGGACATATAATCCGTGCATAAAACAAGCAGAGCTACAATAACTCTAATCTGAGTTCGGTGGCATTGGGGAGGCTAGTCCGACCATCCGCGTACATAAATCTAATCTAGTCTTGAACGTCGGACATTACGGTGTATCGTCATCGACGTTAGGGTATATCGCCAAGCCATGTTTTTCCAGGGATTCGGACATACTGAGTTTTTTCGTATCTGTGGCTATTAAAGTACCAATGAAAAGTAGTGAGGAGTGGGTGATCACCGTTAGTCAACGGAGCAAGTAGCTGGGTGTTTGCTGCCGTACAAGCATCCTCTGAAGCCGACCATCAGGTTCTCTAGCCGAATTCCCCAGATGGACGTACGAATGTCGGAATTACGCGCATTGATATGTGGTTCCCTGTCGGTTAAGGTTACAGCGGAGGAGAAAAGTTCAGACTCATCACCCCACATAGCTTGCAACAATAGCAGGAAAGTCGGCATGGCTTGATCTATTTCCAATGACTTACAGCGCGACAATTCCAATACCCCAAGTTATCGAGAGGAAACGCTCGGCTGCGAGCACACCTTTCACGAGGACGAGAAGGACTCCTCAAGACACTGGTTTGGTTGAATTATTACTGACCGAGAGGAGTGGCGTTGACGTCCATGGACCGCGTCAACTTCAATGCACTCCTCATCGTCTTCACCTTAAAAAACTTCCTTAGTATTTTCTAAGTCTTCATCGCCGAGGGCCTGATCTTCCCTGGAGGATGACGGAAAGAAGTACGTATTGGTAAATGAGGCAGGCGATAGGAGCTATAAACTTCACTTGGGCAATCCAAGTATTCCGGCCAAGAGATTGAATGACTTTCGATGGCCTTCTCGGAGGATTTGTCGAGACGTTCGGCTGCGAGAAGGCGGCCATCCATGGTCATGTCATCTCTAAAGGTGACTCCGACCTGGAGGATTGGATGGATTACGGTGGGTTTCTATCCCCCGATCCAAGTCGCTGATCGCCAGGATAATGCTCGTGGAATATCCGTGGATACACGCAAAATAATTATTGACGCACTTGCCTTCGGCCTGATCCTGGAGCACAATTTTCCCGTGAACAGCGATTTGATAGTCAGGGTCCGTATAAATTGTACAAATGGTCGCTGAGATCGTTTCCAAAGTTGGAAATTCAGAATTTGGAGCAATGACGCCGATACTGTATCAACGCTGAACCGGATAGTAAAAACCGAATACCTTTGCCGAATAAATAATCGGAGATGGGGAAGAAAGAAAACCTTCATCAACGCTAGGCAGAAAGAGTTCGATGTTTTCGTGCAGAACAGGGGACAGAATCGTCCCTCAGTTCTTCATTGAGTTGAAACGCGAAGGGATCCAAGGATTTTCTTTTTCGTGGTAGAATTGCCTATCTTGCGAGGGATATGACTGTTCGTATCTTGAAGAGTTCCTTCCTAAGTTAGGAGAAGTTACCGTAGATTGTCGGGGACCATTCCCACCATATTCAGTAGAACAGGATTGCCACATTGCCTGAGGAAAAGCTCTCTGCAACTGTGGAGGGCTTCCGGCCGTAACGGAGAGGTAGCCCAATAAAGTCTGGACTGGCAAGAATAAGTTTCTTATGGGTAATTTCTCTCGATGAACCGAGCTTGCGTTCTCCTCGTAGTTCTCCTTTTGGAAGGTATTGGTGTCCGCAGACTAGGGATCGAAGAATAACTTAAAGAATGAGATGATCGCATCTGAAAATAGTTGAGAGGGAGGACCTAACCAATACGCAAAAATATCTACTCGCTCCTGCGACAACTTTCTCTTTCGGATATCTTTGGAAAAATTCTGGAACTATAACACAATTAATCATGGCAGACTTAGTCAAACGGCGAATGACAGAAAGTTAGAAGAGACAGAAATTTATACTCTGGGAAAACTCCACATCCGAAACTGAAAAAATATCTACTGTAGGGCCTAGGTCAAGCTTTTTTTATGAGAAAAAACTGAGAGTTGAGCTTATCAGTTAGAAAAAAAATTTACCGTTCTGTATCATCAGCTATCACATTATCAATAATCAAAGTATCATTTTTAGATTCCGTAGCGTTCGTGCCCATCTCTTTAATCTTCCTGCCGTCATAGCAACCATCGCAAACGTCAGTACCGAATATTTTCTCGGTGGTATCGTGAACATTCTTCAAAATGATATTTGCTTCCCTCTCGAGAGTTAAGAAGTTCTCATCCGCATCCATGAGAAAATCCTGCCATTTCTGGGATAAATTATGTCTTCCTGAAGGAAAAGTTTTTTTATGTTCGGGGAAGAACAAGTTGCCTTTATCTTGATATGTTTCCACATTGTTGACAATATTGTCTCCTTTCAATTCATTCATTGTTGCGTTTCCAGTGATCGTCTCACTCTGTATAGTTTCATTTTTATTATTTAGCAGTGGTCGACTTTTATTACACTGCAGCATTCCAGGTTTCATACTTTTCAGCGTTGTACTTCCATCACTTGGTGAAATTTGCATTTCCTTCGAATTATTTGTTGATATTTTTAAGATACTTAAAAATGAAGAAATCCTTGTTTTGCTTGTGATATTCATACTTGGTACTCTGCTTTCTAGTAAATCACTGTCTTGGGAAGTTTGGGACCTTTCAATTGACGAAAAATCATTTATGATTTGGAGTCCAAGATTTTCAGCTTCTGTTAAACAATGAACAGGTAAAATAACCCGAGGACTTGCTCTGCCTCTGCGTAACTGCTGCCATTTCTTTTCCTCATTGCGATATATTCGCCAATCTGTAACGGTCATTGGATATTCCAAGTACGGAGACACCTTGTTGCCTTTTTGATAAACAGCCTTTGTAGGATGCGCTGGAAAAAAAGAGGGAATCCCACATTAATTGTTCCTCCATAACATTTTCTATGATACATGAACACTCGTATATCTCAAAAGGAATATCGTTATTACTTTCTGCATTGCCTGTTTCTTATTCTTTGTTTTGAGGATTGTAATGGATAGTAACTCTTTGAAATAATTCAGAGCGATCCCAGTATCTTCATAATTTATTGTGAAAAACATAGGGAACCAAAAATGCAAAAACGGTACAATTTGGAGTATTTTGTATAAATATGGGGCAGTCCATACCAACTCGATCAGGCGGTGCCCTCGACCTCTCATATTTTGATCGCGATTTTCCCTCAGGTTCAGCTAACTGCAAAAAGCATTCTCAATTTTTTTTTAATTTTTTCTATCTTTCGTGATTTTTTTGTTTGTTTTTTTAAAAGCTTGGAAAAAACCGCCATGCTCTAAAAACTATGAAATTTCCAAAATTTTGAAAGAGCAGTAGTATTTGTTCCAAATTTTCTTGCACCATGATATTATTGACAAAAAGCTCATTTACTACAGCAACTCACATATTGTTAGCAGAATTACTGGTAATATTGTTTAGTTATACGTCGCGGATGAGCGGTATAGCCTCCCTGCCGCCACGAAACTCCGTTTCGAGATATTGTAGCGCCCCCTAGGCTGGGTTACGGATTAAATTTCAAGTCCGGCATTTTTAGCCATCTTTATGAAAGGCGAACCTTCTTGCTGCCTGATCAAATCGCTCGAGTGGATTCGCACAGAATATGCAGACTGTCCGCCAACTCGTCTATGTAAAATCTGCACAGAGTGTCCGCGCCTATGCCCATGATTTTGCAATGGGAATTTAATCTCTCATGTTCTATATGCTTTATTCTGTTCATGTTAAGCAGCTGTTTATCTCTCTTAGAGCTCTGGCCGGATATGGTTGTCCTGGCTTTCCTACAGCTTTTTGTATTATTCCAGCGTTTGAGATGTTCCCACCTGATCTTGTTTCTGATCGCTTTGTTACCCACGACCGCTGGGACATCGATAGGTTCCACTTCGGTTACGCTTAGCGAACCTTGATTCGCCAGTCTGTCCGCCTTCTCCTTGCCGCGGATGATCATCTTGTCCTGGCTTCCCAGCCTTTTCAAGTCCTTCATGGTTTCGCAGACCAACTCTGAGGGCGTACTGGGTTTTAGGAGTGCTTTGATAGCGGCCAGACTGTCTGACCAAATACATGTATACTTGATCGTCGTCTGCCGATTTGCCAATAGCTCTGCTCTTCTCTTAATGGCCAACACTTCTGCTTGGAACACTGCGGCTTTGATTCCAAGAGACCAGCTGTTTCCATAGTGCTCCGCCGATCCATACAGTCCCGCTCCGAAAACGGTCCTTGTATCCTGAGCCGTCGATGTACCAATGCATGACAATATTCCTTGGTGATCTCTTGACAGCTGGCCAGTTTTCCCTAGCAGGAATATAAGTCCAGAATGGCTTCCTGACCTTGGACTTCCTGGTGATGTTGTCATGTTTTTTACTTAAAGGGCTTTTTTCTCAGCATACCCAGCTTGGTGCACGCTGCGCCGGCTAAGATTCATTTTTTTGACATACCATCCTGTATGCGGTTGATTCTGCCTTGCTTATCAGCGGATCAGAAGGCGGTAGCTCGAGAGCCACCTCCAATGCGTCTGTCGGCATAGTTTTCATGGCGTCGCTTGCTGCCCTCAGGAAATACCCTTCGAGGGCCTTGAGCCCGTCCCTTCCTTCCGCTCTCTCCGCCCTGTGCCACCAGACCACTACTGCGTACATGAGTCGCGGCAGCAGGACCATCCTATAAAGCAACATGCTGATTTTAGGGTGAAAGTCGCACACTCTGCCCATAGCTCTTCTACATGCTCAAAGAGAGGCATAAGCTTTGCTCATCTGTGTTTTAATGTGCTCCTTCCAATAGATCTTTCGATCGAGTCGAACTCCTAAATATCTCACCGAGGTGGGGTACGCGATATTCGCTTCCCCAGTCTCAGTGGTTTAGAAGTTACCACTTTGTATTTCCTGGTGAATGTCATGGTGGATGTCTTCTCTGGGCTTCGTCGCATCACTTCGTCTCATCTGGGCTTCGTCTCATCACATCATTCCTCCATCGTTCTTGAATAACTTGATCTATACCTTAGCATGTCTAGAGACTTTCCCCTTGCAATGGTGGCCACATCATCCGCGTAGCCACAAACGAAGAAACCATTTTCCCTCAGTTTCTCTAGAAGTTCATTGACTACAAGGCACCACAGGAATGGAGATAAAATACCGCCCTGTGGACAGCCTCTTATGGATCAACCTTTGCTCTGATGTGTGCTGCTGTCAATGAATTGCTTCTTAGCATGCTTCGTGTCCAGTCAGTGATAGTCTCTAGGTAGCACCTCTTTCAGATGAGTTTCATTGTGACCTCGTATTTGGTGCGATAAAACAGTCCTTCGATATCAAGAAATATTGACATTGCCTAACGATTTTCCTGTACTTCCTCTTCGACTTCTGTCAACATATGGTGCATCGTGGTCACTGTAGACCTTCCCTTTCTATAAGCGTACTGCCATGAGGAAAGTGGTCTCTGTCCATCTGTCCATCTGTCTCTCTAGCGTCTGGAAAACGAAAGAGGTTAGACTGATAGGTCTGAAGTCTCTTAGGTTAACGTAGCCATTTTTCCCAGACTTGAGAAACACAATTTTCGATTCCCCTCACTCCTCTGGTACAGTTCTCAGGGCCACAAAGCCTCAGCGCTACGATGACGTCGATTCCTTTCTGCTCAAGCCCTGGGAATGCGCCATCTGGGCCTGGTACCGTTAGAGGCTCAAGGAATTTGTTGCCTATGGTACCCTTTACAGAGACATGATTTTGGCTGCTAAAGCACAGTCTCGAGATTTATATTGCTCTTCTATCATATTGATAGTTTCTTGCGCAACATCCTGTCTAGCGAAGCCAGGAATTATTCGCTCAACAGCAGTTTCAATGTCTATGCCGGGGTACAGACATAACTGCCATATGCCTTGATGCAAAACCCCAGATTGATGGCTCCCCATCCTCCCAAGGTTAAGTTTTACTAGTCTAGAGGCCTCAGACAAACTCCCCATACAGCTGCTGAACTTTTTCCAACTGTCGTTCCTGACTTTCGCCAGAGCTGTATTGTACTTTCTTTGGAGAGTCTTGCGTTATTCCAGCAACTTCCTATTGTATGTGTTACCATGAGAGTTTGTACATTGTTTCATGCATCCCTCAGTTAGCTCCTCAGACGTGCTGTTCCACCAGCTAATGTTACTGGTTCTCTTATGAGTAGGAAAGACAGTTGTTTTCAAAGGAACATTTTACCGTCTCTCCAAAGTACCCGGCTGCGTGGTCCAGTTGTCCTTTGTTGTTGAGTCTGCAGGGTACATTCTGGATTCTCTGTGCAAATTCCTCTCAGTAACCCTGGGGCCGCTGTGCACATGGTTATGTCCAACACTTCCTCTCTTCTTCAGTCAATTAAGATTAGCTCCGTTCGTCTATTTAGAAGCATGAGATCATTTTCCACAATGAAGTTGTGTAGGACTTCACCCCTTGCATTGGTGTTGATTCAACACTGTTGAACCTCCCCCATCCTACATGGTGGGAGTTCATCATGGGCGTCGCATCCAAGCAGGAGTTGTAGCCCGTCCTTGTCCACTTTGGTTACGCGGCCCTCGCCTTCTTGTATTGGGGGAAGCCGTAGGGCAAATCAGCTGACCCTACTATGCATTATGAGACTGTATCTCCTCGCAACTGGGTTTTTATCTTGGCCACCGCCAGATCCCTAGTACTAAGTTGTAGGAAAGTGGTCGCTATCCCTTTGATGAGTAGGCAGAATCTTATCCGGTTTTCCTCGGCGTTTGCATGGGATAACTTTCCACAACTAGGCATAGGCAAAGGGCCTAGGCTCTTTATCTTCCCATCCCCTAACCATGGTTCTTTAATAAGCTATAGCTATAGCTGTCTGCATCGTAGGATATCTGAGACGTTTGTCCTGTGGTGCAAATTAATTTGGACTATCTCATACGTCCTGTGAGGTATTAAAGGGCTCAATTGACTTCCTCGTTAATCTGATCTTCCTCCTTGCCGTTCTTCTTGAGCAACTTTACACTTACCCTTTGATTCCCGCAGTGAGATTTGAACTTAAAGGCTTCCCGCACTGCAACATCTTATTACTGATCGAAGCGGGCGCTCGAAGTTCCTTTACTGTCGTTGCCCTTCAGAACGACCCAGTCTTCGAAGTCCATCCCCTCGTTCTGCTGTCTCGTGAGCTTGATAGTTGCTTGGGACGAAACCTTTTCATCCTCTACGTGCACCAAAACCCAACGCTTAGGTAGCTCCTCGGCTGCCAGTTTACGCAGGGTTCTGTTTTTCATCTACGTTTTCGGTTTTGGTTCTGAGGCATTTAATTTGGTTCCGCTTTGGTTTTAATCCGGTTTGTTGTTTCCGACTCTGCAAAAAAATCAACTGACGCACATGAGTTTTAATTGATCGGGGGAACAAGGGCAGATAACATCCGGTTTTTCCTTAGAGTAAAATTGGCGACATTACAAACTTGAAAACCAAAAATAGTTAAATGTCTCAGAAAAAGTGAAGACATGGCTCTTCGTCCTATCTATTGACGAAAATCTCTTAGATCCAGCAGAGAAGGGTGAGAATTTTAGCCCTGAACAGCAGGCACTGGGATCAGAGTATATCTTCAAAGTGGCATCACGATTGAGTTTGGAAGCAGATGACGTAATAGCACAGTTCATTGATTTCAAAATGAATAATGGTATCTTCGAGAGCTACCTGAAGGATCAGCCTGCCACTGGTGTAAAATGATGGCAAGGCCTCTTCTACACCCTTGAAACAAGTTGCCATCGACATTCGCAATGTACCTCCGACGTCAACACCTACTGCACGTACTTTCAGCACATCTGGCTGGATTAATTCTAAAGAACGCAATCGGTTAGCAGTAAAGGGAGCTACAATGTTAACAGACATTGCT